TGCTGTAAATTTTTTATAAAAAATATTTATGTAGAATATTTTGAAAAAAAAAATAGTAACAATTTCTTTCTTTTAAATCATTATTTATAACAAAATTTATAAGTATTTTCTAAGAAAGTTTTTTGAAAAGAAAATTGATAGAAAATATATATTGAGAGAATAAATGTGGTCAAAGGAAGGTAATGGTTTGTATATTATGTAAGTTTAGCTTATAACATACTGCAAAATCCAATGCTAGACGATGAGAAAGAAAAAAACTCTGGCATTTCGTGGCATATTCCAACTCCTCTCCATTTTACATGGAGGGTGTTATTGGATAGAGAACCAACGATTTATTTTATACCTTATTATCTGGTATACCCATATCTATGTAACTGTAACTTTATAAAAATAGAATCCAACACAAACAAGAATACAAAGAAAAAAGAAGAACTTTCAAATTAACAATTAAGATACATGGATGAGCCGCACTGAATTATTATTTAGAAGAATGTCAAACTAAACTTTAGGAAAGAAAACTCGAGTACATGTGAACAACTAATGCCTAACTATTGTAGGGACTTGTTAGTGAGAGGGGATTTCAATTCTCGGAAACTTCTCTCTTCTGAAAGCATTTTCGCTAACCTGCAAAATTTAGCTCCAATATTAGTTTTACTCACTAAAAACTATGCATAGTCTGACAAACGAAATGGATGATATAGCTAGCATTAATATTGCTGGGATATATTTTCAGACTGTTCCTGTGAACTGAATGACACATTAATCATAATATAAGTAATTTTCATTTGATGTTACCTTCTGAGAGCATCTTCGTTGGTCTCCCCATCTCCCAACGGTTCAAACAGACCAGTCTCCAAATTGATCTGAGATACTGGTTTCTTCAACAACCTCTCACCAATTTGGCTAAGTTTTTCCATATTTTTTTTCGTGGCAATATCAGTTGAAGCATCTGTACCAGTCAATGTATCATCCTGCATGTTGACGAATTTTCCAAAACGAAAATAATCTTTCAGCTTTGAGTTGAATATTTGCAGGTATATGAAAATTAATCTCTTGTAATAAAGCATACACAAGAATGTACCTGTATACGAAGGTAATTTTTTTCTGAATTAAGAGCCCGGGTGACAGTAGCAAGATGGAAATCAACCATATCTCCACTGGAGTGAGTTAAAACATCGATCAAGGGAGATGAACCACTGTTAGTTAACCAATCGAGTAGACCCCATTTTGCTGCTATTTTAGCATTGAATTTGTGTTCATTCTTGGGAGTCCCGGTGCCCAGAGAGATTATCAGGAAACGACCATATTCCATTGGCTTGATGGAGAAGAAGTCAGGATTGTCATTAATGATCTGCTTGGTTAACTGGTTCATGGCTACTAAGCTCTGGATCACCAAGTCACAATCATTATTGTTGATACTAAATTTCGGAAGAATATTTTTACAAGTAAAGAAAGTTAAGTTATTTTGAAAGTACCGGATTATTAGCACAAACGCCACCATCAATAAGGTTGAATTCGTGCACGTTCCCTTCTGAACCTTTGTTCTTGAAGCTGTGGGCTGGAAGATAAGTTGGTGCGGCAGAAGTGCTGATGCATATGTCCGATAGTGGAGCATCCAAATAAGGAGACATCTTGATTTGGTACGAGGAGAAAATGATTGGCTGCAGTGAATTGATGTCGAAGGTGGGAATCACAATATTGGTCAGCGTTTCATGCAAACGTGTCTTCCCTAGCTTCTCTCTCACCACTTCTCGAAGGTATTTTCCATCGTATTTTGGTCCTCCTAATGATCTCACCATCCTTTCTATCCATCCCCATATGCCACTGTGCTCAATTCGTACAACTAAAGCTCGTAAATATAAACTTGATATATAACAATTATATATTATGTGAACTTTTGATAGCTAGCTTCTCTATGTTTGTCTGGTTTTTAGTAAACTTCTTTAGTTCGATATATAGATAAGAACATAGAAATTAATATACCTGCGTTGTGGGAAAATCTTTGGAAGGTGATCCAAGTAAAAGGGCCTGATATCCTTGGCAGCAAATAAAGGACGCTGACGATCATTTGGAGCAGTTAACATGGCGGTTACAAGACCACCTGTGCTTGTTCCTGCAATCACATCAAAATAGTCTGCAAGCCTTGCATCCTCACCGTCCAATTCCTGCATGAAAACATCCTTGTTAATTAACAGACTACGTGAAATTATAGTAACTAATCAAATACAAGGTAGTTATTATTATTGATGTTTTGTTTTGACGAATATACCTGAAGTTGTGCTTCAAGGAAAGCAAGAATAGTTGCGGGGATAATGCCCCTAATGCCACCACCATCGATACTGAGAATTGTGACTAAGTTTCCATAGGTTGGAGGCTGAATCTGTAGAAGGGATGACTTTGATCTCTCCATATATTTTACTCCCAAAGTTACTACTCACTTGGGAAAGTTGAACTTTGTCTCTGTATGTACGCTGTTTTTGTGTTATTTTTTTCTGAAGGAAAGCCAATGAAAAGTTGAAAGCTTATGAATTGTTTGCACAATTGAAAACTTGCTATTATAAGAAATGGTGAAGAAGTTTAGATTAATCAAGTTTTTCGTAGGTTGTTTGATGTCTTTTCTTAAAGCTCTATTTATAGGGCAATGCGTGCAAAGGATAAATTAAAGTTAAAATTACACTACGATGCACCTGATTAATGTCTCCAATACGCAAACCATTTAAGGCCCCGCGTTGAACAATCCAAGTCCAAACATTGTCTTAAATAATAGAATTAGACTTGTGAGACAAAACAAGAAGAAAAAAAATAGAGAAGTGAGGAACTTCTCTTAGACCATTTCACGCATAAATTTTTCAGCCAGTATAATTTCTACGAATGTGGTTTACAAAAATGAGTGGATAGTAGCATTTGGCTTTTCCTCACGAAAAGTTTAACAATTAATGATTGTTTGTACAAGTTTAATTTCTAAGACAAAAGAAAGGGTAGAACTAAACCACATTTTGAAAAAGTCTCGCTAAGTAGACACTTGTTAAAAAATAAAATAAAAAATTGTTGAAATCTTGAAAAAAACATTAAAAAATGATAAAAAAAACTTCTTTTTGTTTAAGAAAAAACAAGTAATTTTCACTCAATTTTTTTTTCTTAATGACATTTGTCTTGATTTGTTTATTATGCTAAATGTAGAGAGCTAGATAACTTTTAAAATTGTTTTATTATATTGTAAAACGTTCTAATAATGTGGGAGTAACGCTTTTGGATGCAGTCTTTTGTTTAAATATTTTAACAAAGTATAATAAAAGATTGTTTTAGAATATATAGATTCAAGGTGCAGTCTTTTTAGACTCATTCCCAGTGAAGAATA